TGCCGCCGCAACGTCATCGCCAAGGGCAAGATTGGCTCTCCTGTTGCCGCAACTTCTCTCGGCCTGGACTTTATCCGCGTCTACTATATCGGCGAGGACAACAAGGCGAGGGAGATTTGCTACGACAAGCACGGTAGGCACTGGGTACGTGGCCTGACAGGTCTTCCAAGTTGCATCTGTTGTCCATGCTTCGGGGTCTGGAACATTGGACAGAGTCGAGCTTGGTAGTCGACTTTCTCAGCCGGTGTTTTGGGAACGGGACACGGGCAATACTTCACTATGTCCATGCTTCCGCAGGACACTCTTGACTGACAGTCTGGCTTGGACAGTACAACGGGGCTTTGAACGACAGGTTCAGGCTGGCGCCTTACTCTGGCTTGGCTGCCATTTACCTCGAAGCACCCGATGATCAAAAATTGATTCGCATCTACGGCCAGCTCGAGGACGACAATACTATTCAGGAATGGTGCTGTAAGTCACACTCCGGGCGGGGGACAGACACGGGGACCGATGATTATCAGACTTTGCGGACAAGCAGCCCTGGTTTCTTAGTGTCTCGTGCTGACTCTGAATGAAACTCAAACAGATGACACCAAGCATGGTTGGACTCTCGGTTCTAATATAGGCGACGCCGTCCCGGGCTCCTCCATAGCTGCTACTACCTGGGCCCAATCACCACACCAGATCCGGTAGGTTGTACACAGTTTATCACCCTGGGGCTTGAGCCGTTGAGCTGCAGTTGTCTCTTCCCCTGCTGACAACAGCAATCGTGTATAGCGTCTACGTGCAAGACGCGAACCTCAACATCATTGAAAAGGCCTACGATGGCTCGCGTTGGCACACGGGCGGCCTACACATCAAGGACGCAACGCCTCGCGCCGCAGTGGGCGTCACGTCGTGGACGGAGCACGGCAACGTGTCAATCCGCCTCTACTACGGCTCCCCAGGCAACGTCATCAAGGAAAAGGCCTGGGACCACGGCAAGGGCTGGTACGACGGCGACTTCTCACAGGGCTCAGTGCCTGCGTCCCACGTTGCCGCAACCCCCAAGCCCACGCTGCGCGTGTACATTCAGAACGGCACAAAGTACACGGCCGTGACGGAATTCGCCTGGGAGGGCCGGTGGGATGTTGGCCAGCAGGCTCTGCCCCCGGCTTAACGGCACAGTGCACACTCTGGCGCCGTGTGTTGCTTGTCCGAGGCGAGTGTTTGTGTTTCAAGCGCGTGGCGCATGTCGCGACCACGGGCTGAGTGATACACATGTCGGAGGGTTGGTTGCTCATGCTGGGCGGTTTGCCTGGTGTCTACAGCCTGCAACACTATGGAGGGAACTGCTGCTTGCCAAGAGGTCCCCGAGGCAGATGGTTTCCCAGAATATGTAGTGCTACAAGATTCTAGTCGTTGAATAAAGACCAATGATTCGTGTCTTGTGTTTCCCATGAATCAAACACTGGCAAGTCTTGAACTTGAAGCAGGCTCTAGAGAAAGACGAGCAAATCAGCGCCATGGATTGACATGGATGCATAGAAATGGAACTAATGGAGATGGAAGCCATGCCAATGTCACGTCTCGCTTGAGTTGAGGGTTAATCATAGTTAAGATGCTCAACATGATCATTTTTTGCCTCAATACTTGAGCCAAAACTTGATTCTAAGCCTTATACAACTGCTTCATTTGCCTAATTATGAGCAGAAACAAATGGCGCGGTCAACTCATCTCTCTTAGCCGCGTCTCTGAACGCCGGGCGAAGTAAAGTTTGTGGAATAGTAGGCATCCCTGGTGCCTGTCTGTTTATTCCAAATGGTCTGTTTGGGGGCCGTGGTTGTTGATAAGCCGAGGCAGAGCTTTGCCCGAAAATAGCGGCCATGGCATGCCCTAGTGACTGATACTTTGGTGAGCTGAGATGAGTTGCTGGGTATTTTACGCGGAGCGACCGCTGAGTGCTATGCTGTCGTGATGGTGATTCTTGTGTTGTTGCAGTGCTGCCGTTGCGATACGTAACCCATCCGGACCCAGTCTTGTTTTGTGTCCGATCGTCACTCCCCACACGCCATCTTTGTCTAGGAACATGTCAGAGATATTGCAATGGTTTTTGTAGCTGGGTTGGCGACAACCAGCGAATACCCAGTTTGAATGATCTTTTTTTGTTAAACTAGCAGTTGTGACAGGGCTCTTGACGTTGGAAGAGAGATGATGGGAGAGAGAGGAAGGGACTCGTGGAGTGTGTGGAGTGTCGACGAGCGCAGATCTTGTAAATATATAATGGGGCTATTTTAAATTTTGAGAGGGAGTCACCGTATAAATTATACTTTACTTCCACTCAATTAATGGCTGAGGCTATTGTGAGATGGCCTTAGCCGGCGTGCCGCGATAAACCACTAATCTTGCAAGTGTCTAATATATCGTGATATATTCATGGTGTATTACGTCATGTAGTGCAGTTCTCTGGCTTGGGTACGGTTAATATATTGTGTTACTCAATGTAGTGCTTACACGTTTATTTATATAAAAAAAAACAACTCCTAATAATTACAACATCTTCACCACCACGAGCCAAGGAGACATCAGATGCCATTTCTCCTATCCCTCTGCTAACACTCATCATCGCCAACACCACCATCGACCCGAACCAAGATCTTGCCTGTCGCATGCCGCCCGCCCAGCTTCTCATAGGCCTTGTCGGCGTCCGCAAACGCCCACACACTGTCCCTCACCACCCTGAGCTCGCCCCTGGCCAGCATGCCCACGATGCCCTCGCGGTCCTCCCGCGTAGGCGACATCATGGACACGCCCTTCCGTGGCCGGCCCACGCCGCCGAGCCACCTGGTCACGGGCCACCACTCGTTGAGCTTCATCTGCACGACGGCGCGCAGAAAGTCGGGCACCCCAAAGGACGGCGGCTTGATGCCCACGGAGCAGTAGACGCCCCCCGGGACGAGGTACGACGGCGAGCGGGCATACAGCGCCTGGAAGCCGAGCGTGTCGACTACGGCGTCAAAGGGCGCCGAGGCGAAGGCGGCCTCGAGGTGGGCGGCCAGGTCGGCGTGCTGCGTGTAATCGACCACGTCGTCGGCGCCCAGGCCTCGCACCACGTCTTCGTTGGCGCCGCTGCAGACGCCGACGACGCGGCCCCCGGCGCCGACGGCGTTGCGCGCCATCTGCACCACCATGGTTCCGATGCCGCCGCTCGCGGCGACGACGAGCACGCTGCGGCCCGGCTTGAGGGCGGCGTCGGCGACCAGTTGCGCCGCCGTCATGCCCGCCAGCAGGCAGCCCGCGGCGTCGGCGAAGCTCACATTGTCGGGCTTGCGGACGGCGTACTTGGCCGGGATGGCGACGTACTCAGCCAGCGCGCCGGTGCCCGTGGTCAGGGCGTGCGAGGCCGGCACCATGGCCACGACCTTGTCGCCCCTGGCGAAGCGGGAGCCGCCGCCGTCGGGGTGCCATGTGTCGGTCACGGTGCCGCTGAGGTCCATCTCGGGCGTGCAGGTGGCGGCGCGCAAAAAGGCCGGGATCAGCGTCATTTGGAAGATGGCGCCGACGTTGAGCCCGGCAAAGGCCACTTTGATGAGGATCCATTCTTCGGGGGTGGGCGAGTCGCGCGGCAGCGGGAGACGGGGCGGCAGGGTTGGCGCTGGGCCGGACGTGAATGCGAGGACGGACGAGGGTGGGCCGCGCGCCGTGAAGGTCCAGAGGCGGTGGTGAGATGTCATGATGACGGGTTCTTTGGTGTTGAGGACGTTTTTGTGGTCGGGGGCGGGCCCCTGGGGTGCCGGACCTTGGGTACCTAGGGGCCGAGTAGTCATTACTGTGTTTTAAACTCGTTCTTTTTTTTTTTTTTTTTTTTTATACGGGGGGGG